GTAGTAAAGAAGATAAGGTACACTATAGTCATACAACATGGGTAAATATACACAGATATTAGACAGTACTGTGAGAGTTAAGATGTTTAGCAGAGTGATACCATAAGGGAACAAACTGTCCCTTGTCTAGTTCAGTGATGGCAAACCTTTTAGAGACCGAGTGCCCAAACTGCACTCGTCGGGTGCCGGGTGAGTGTGGCCCATTGGTTGGGTGTGGCCCATTGGGTGGATGTGGCCCATTGGGTGGGAGTGGCTGCGGTGGTAACAGCAGACTGGGTGGGACTAAAAAGTTCAATCAATCAATTCCAACTTTGCAAGATCTCTTTTTTTCCGTGAGAAGTTGAAATTGACTGATTGATTGAACCTTTTTTTTTTGCACATGGCGGCAGAGGCCTAAAGCGAAAAGGTTTTATAAAACCCAGCTGAAGGCCTAGGACTGGGGCGACAGCACACGTGCCCACAGAGAGGGCTCTGAGTGCCGCCTCTGGCACCCGTGCCATAGGTTCGCCACCACTGGTCTAGTTGTTTTGTCATGCAGTGCCCCATAGCAACATACTGATGGAAAGAGTTGAAACAGTTTACATGTGAGGGATCTGTAGATATTTTCTCAGCCCTCCTTCTGACCCAATCAATATACAGGTCTTCTATGGAAGGCAGGCTGATTGCAGTTGTTCTTTCTATAGTCCAACTATCTGACGGAGTCTGTATCTGTTCTGTTTGGTTGCTGTACCAAACCAGACAGTTATAGAAGTACAAATGACAGACTGAATAATTCTTCTATAAAACTGTATCAACAGCTCCTGGGGCAGTCTGAATTTCCTGAGTTGATGCAGGAAACGCATTCTTTGGTGTGCCTTTTTAATTATGGTTCTAATGTTGGGTGTCCATTTTAAATCCTGGAGGATTATAGAATCCAAAAACTTGAAGGACACTACATCAGTTTATTCATGAGTAATCTCAATAAACTGTATGTGTTTTCCTTCTCCATGTGCAATCTGTAAGATACTGCGTTGTGAGCATTTTTTGGCCTTCACATAGTACAAACGTCAAATAATAGAATCCAGTAGCAGGAAAAAGCATTTATTTCTATTCTGTACTAAAATTATATCACCCACATCTTTGTAGAGGAGGGGCCATCTCCACCCAGCTGGAAACAAATGCAATTAATTAGCTTTATGTGTATTCAGAAGAAATTCCCTAGAGATGAGTCATTGGGTTTTTAAAGGGTGTCCAGGGATATGTCAAGTAGACATTGCGTGTAAATCAATGACACACCTTGTGTTAGGGAACACACGCTGTAGCCTGCAGGTCTGTTCCTTCTAAGACTTAGCACAATAGAACGGCTGGTTGATGGACATTCCCAAAGAGTCTCCTATGAATAAATACACATACACTTGGAACAACATCAGGAAGAGAGTTTCTATTTATTTTTTCTGTGTAAAACAAAGAGAATTCGGGGAGGGGCTGTTTTACCTTCTTGAAACAAAGACTAGGACTTAACAGGGGGTGGGAAGACATTGTTCTACCTGTTTTATGTAGGCAAACTATCCCCTTTCTGATTTGGTTATTCCATTGATTTAATAAATTACTAAGGCACCTAGATCTATTTTCTGCTACTTTTTGTACAAAAAAATTTAAGTAACATGCTATGTCTAAGTAACATGCTATGTCTAAGACATATCTCAGAATGCCCCCCTCTCCATCTCTACCCCCCCATCTTTCTTCCATATATAGCTGCCTTTCCTACATAAACAGGTTCAGTCCTGTTTAGAGGCAGGGAAGACTTTAGCAAAGTTTAGTTCTATTTTTAAAATAATTTAGACTTAGCATTATCAGCAATCCAAATTTAAAAGTGACTCTAAACCAATGTCTTTACCATTAGTTTAAAGTTGGCTAGTTTCACAGCTAAAACTAAAGTATTATACAGATCATAATCTAACAGTTATTTTCTTCTATTACCCAGGAAGACACAAATATACTTTTTGGCTTATGGTGCAATCAGGTCTGTGATAGCTGGGTTGCAAAACTCCAGATGGTAGCACAAAATGACAGCAAAAAGATTTTTAACCCCCTTAATGCTTGGCTGTCATCAAGGCATTCACTGAAGATTGATGACCCAGGTAGCTTTATGTGTGCTGGGCTTTGCTAGACTCCATTCTTCTAACAAAGCAATTCAGAAAAGTCACTTTATCCAATGGTTCTTTTAGGTTTCACACTGTCACACCTATCTTCCTGGTGAATCCCAAAGACTGATTGCTAAAAAGTAGAATTTTTAACTCCAATTAAATTGCTTAAGGTTTTAATACATGTGTAACTATTAACCCTGAATAGAAATAATAGAAGTAAACCAATACACCCTCCTAAGATTTCCCTCACCTTTATGTGTCCCTAAGTTATGATGGTTAATTTTCTGCTCTCTTTCTTGATGCCATCATACTTCTAAAACTTGTACATATCTGGCTAAGTATTACTATCCAAAAATTTTAGCACAAACAAAAATGGCTGTTTATAACAAATAGTGGAATGAGACATCTTGTCAGTAGGAACCGTGTAACATGAAACTTATGGATTTTCTTCATGTAAAGAAAAGTAGAATTATGGTTATCAGCTTGTTCATATCAAAGGATTCAAATGGTTTTCCAAAGTGCAGGGAAATTGGGAAAATATGTGCCCCTTCGTTGTGGAGCACTAATGATTAATTTTTTTACCTCTTTTCTTATCATTTGTGCAAGCTATTGATTTTGGAGTATCATCTGCAGATTTCAAGCAAATCTCATTTTACTTTTCTGGGAGAAGGAGAAAATGATAAAGGCAGATTATTATCCTTTTTACCTTTCAAATTAAATTCCAGGTGACTACCAATAAGAATCATTAATATTAAAAAGAAACAACAAAACACAGATGCAATTTTCTCATGTAGTTAGTTCAACATGGAAAAGATTGAAGAATAAATTATGGAGAGTTGCAAGCAGATGGTTCTCCTAACATTAGAAGTGAAACCTAAGAGAACTTGTGGCTCAGAAGTGAAGATCAATCTTGTCCCCAAATAGCAGGTAATGTGAAAAGGCAACCTACGTGGAATGGATTGTGAGGAATTCATTCTTCATGCTAAAATGCTAGCTTAATAAAAAAAAATCCTTAGGGGAAGAAGATAAAAGATACAAAATAAAGACTGGCCTGTATTTGTTTTCATAATGGTTTTCATACTATGGTGAACAGCTCCTCCACTGTAGACACTGCTGGTTCAGTAAACTTTAGAGATGAAGCCTCTTGATGTCTTTATCTTTAAGAGTTTGATTTCTCCAAGGATTCTGTCCACTTCCTCAGGATTCAGGCAAAACTATTCCCAGATATCAGTTCATGCCTTTACCTCAGCACCTCTCACTAATGTTATCTATAAAGTGCCCTGCTAACAGTTCACACAATTCGTCTGACTGATCTTTCCCTAAAAGAATAGAAGTCATTGTAAAAAGGGTCGATGGAAGCCACTCTCCAGATGCAATAGGGCTAAAAAGGTAATTCTACTTTGCTGCTGTTATCATGAAAGTGTAGATCCAAGTTTGAGGTTGTCCCCATATCTAGATGGATTTGCTTTTCATTTTTTGCCAACATTGATCTAGGCCAGTAGTTCTTAACCTTTTTGAATGAATCGCCCCCTTGAGCCAATGAGGAAGTTGTCATCGCCCCCCTCCCCCAACATAACCTCTCAGTCACAACATAGGAAATAATTCTTCAATTTACGCAAACCCTTTTTTTTGTTTTCTTTAAAATTGTCATCAGGACATATCGATGCAAATCATTTATTTCAAGTCTTTTCCCCATATCTCCCATATTCTGGCCAATGGCGCACCACTGTATGGGTAGAGGCTGCTGCGCAACACGCATGAAGATAAGCGATGTGTATTCACATATGTATGGTGTTCTGTACTGAAGCTAGCTGGAGGAACATTTGAAAACACAATTCAATCCGCTAATAGCGAGCGACCTGATGTTTTTCTACGACAGATATACAGCCATTCACTGTACAAAAAAGTCTCAAAAGTGTCCCCCAAACTTCTCACTCCATCGCCCCCATATTGCCCCCTTTTCATTCCTTCACCCCCACATCGCCCCTTTTCGTTCCATCGCCCCCCTGAAAAACGAAATCACCCCCTGGGGGGCAATATCGCCCAGGTTAAGAACCACTGGTCTAGGCAACTCCTCTAGTGACTCTTGGGCAGCTCCTTAAATAAACAAGGAGGCCGCAGGATTGGCATAGAGAGCTGTTGTAAATTATTTTATCATATGCAAGATTCTGTATGGTTATTATTTTATGCAAAACATTGATTTTACAGATTCTTAAAGTATGTGCATGCCTATTGATCAATATATCTTTGTAGTCTTATTTTTTTCCCAAAGGACTTCAGAAAATGTAGCTTTGTTTAGGATTTCCAATAAAAATTATTCACATCCCTGCAAAACTGTAACCTTTAGCTTTGTTCTTGGTAAGCCTGTTAAAAATGATTTAAAAGCAATTTGAGTCCCTGTTCAAGATACAACTGAATTAATAATAATCAAGTGAAGGGAATGCAGCATAGCCAACCTTGTTAAGTGTCTCATTTAATTCTTTAAACCCTGTTTTTCTTACTGTTTTCGTCACAGCTATTCAGGAAATGTAACCTGCAGGCAGCTATGTGAAATAAACTATGTTATTTGCTTGAATCCTTAGAAGTACAATGAATCAGCAACTGTTGAACTTGCTTGTGTACTTTGTAAAGAAAACTAATAATTTTATAATATTATTTTGTTTCATTTTAAGAAGCCTGCGGAATCAAGCCAAGAGCAATCCACCAACCTATTTCCAAAAATAGGCAGTTCATACCTGATAGGCGCAAATAAAAAATATGAAGATAAGATATCCTTTGTCTCCTAGAATTCAAAGGTTTTTGTTTAACTTCTGAATATAGATTAAACTTAACATAGGTATGTAGGCAATAAATTCTAAACCCCAAATTCTTTACCTCTTTGATGGCAGACATCTTGATGTTCTCATAGTAATGTAGTGGTGCATTGGGAGAGTTCATGTCATAACCAAATCCAGCTACAGCTACTTCATCACAATTATGGAGCACCATGGTAATTGCTACACTTCCCAGAGTAGGAATATTCTGTGGAGGAGAGGGGAATGAAGCAAAACACAAACAATTAAGATTTTGTCTTCTTAAGTGCCAATCTGTGAACAGATCCCAAGTGGGAAATGCAGTGGGACTACTACATCTAGAGATAATATTTTGAGGAACCAATCTAAAGCTCTATTCCAACACAGTGCTAACGTGAATTACGTACCAGAATATGAAGTAAGATTTCATGGTGATCGATAATAGGATAGGAATGCAATGCAGAATGCAGAGGAAGAAAGAGGAAAAGGAAATATATCAACTGTAATAGCTATATAAAAAGTGATAATACATAATTTATGTATATGTTTGTTTTGTTTTTCCTTTTTATGCACATTTTTGTGTAGTCTAGTTCTGTTTTGCTTTTGTATTACTTTTTCTTTTCCCTTTTTTGGAGTTTGTTTTTTAATGTTTTGAATAAAACAAAATTTGAAAATGAAGAAAAAAAGTGAGGTATCGGTGAATAGTTCCATAATTATCAAAGTCAAAGTTCAAAAATCACATTTCTGATAAGTGCTGATAGATAGATAGATAGATAGATAGATAGATAGATAGATAGATAGATAGATAGATAGATAGATAGATAGATAGATAGATAACCTTTGTCATTTTTTTTACTGTGGGCACAACGGCACACATCAAAAATGAAATTTAGTTGCCTATTTTTGGAGAGGCAGTACTGGATTTGAATGTTCCTGCTGGGTAGCTCTTTCTAGCAAGGACTAGTGTATTAAAATTAGTCTCAGATCACCAATATACCGTTAGCATAGTTCTTTTAATATATATGAAAGAAAACCAAGGATGTTTCCTCTTATTCCTCAAATATTTAGCAATCAGTAATTCTAGTAGGGTAGAGGTCTATAGAGATTCTCAATCATCCAGGTCATAGTTGTCCCAAAGATGCTTTTCCACAAGGCAACTGGACTTTCTTGTTTTTCCTTTGAAGACATTTCGCTTCTCATCCAAGGAGCTTGGATGAGAGCCTTGAAGAAGTTTCTGGGATGAGAAGCAAAACATCTTCAAAGGAAAAACAAGAAAGTCCAATTGCCTCATGAAAAAGCATTTTTAGTATGTTTAGTAAGGTAGCTGAGTTTTTAACCTATCATACTAGGTTAAACAGCAATTATTTGTGTATTTGGTTTTTAGTTTGAGTAGCTAAGTTGAGTATCAGAATATATATTATTTTTGTGGGATACATTATCCCTATCAACCAATTGTTTCTTTAAGGGTGCAGAATAGAGGAAGTACCGTATTTTCCAGCGTATAAGACTGGGCGTATAAGACGACCCCCAACTTTTCCAGTTAAAATATAGAGTTTGAGCGAGAGAGAGGGGGGGGGAGAGAAAACTTGATGAGTAATATGCCAAACCACATGTGTAAAGGAATAAAATAGAATACCCGTATTTTCTGGCGTATAAGACGACTGGGCGTGTAAGACGACCCCCGACTTTTGAGAAGATTTTCAGGGTTTAGAAAGTCGTCTTATACGCCGGAAAATACGGTACTCTACTTCTATCTTACATTATATAAATAAGAAGAAAATAGTAAATATCTTTCTGGTTCCTGTATAAGAAAAATTGTAAGGATCTCTGACAAGTTATTAGAAATCACTATTACAGCATCTAAGATAATCTGTCTAATAAAGTCCAAAGTTCCTAATGAATGTATTTCTCTGGATTCATGTTGTTAAGTTTCAAATACAAACATGGTGCCCAATGCATAGGGAATGGAAACTATAGGGTCGTAGGTGGTCCTGGACAATTGCTGAATAAGTCCAGGCAAAATAATTCAAGCTGATATTAGAACAGTACTCATTGTTAAAGGAAGAGTATTTTAAGTGAGAATAGAAGAAACGAGCAATGTCTCTGAGAAAAATCCTCCTATTTAATAATATATCACAGAGTATGTCCACAAAGAAGGACTATAAACTCAAATGCTCATGAAAACCAGACCATATAATGACCACAACTTCTGTACAAACAGAAGCAAATTGTACTTTTTGCTATCTTAATGCTAATTGGATTCAATGATTAACTGATTTATAGATGAAATTGGATTAGATTGGTGATCAAACAGCAGTTCAGGATGTAAAGTTATAATTACTATGCAATGGAGAGAACATGATGGAAGCAAAATAGTCCATTAATTCTGTGGCAAGCACAATTCCTGCTGATGTTCCAAAGTTTTAGTTCTCTGGATCCTTCTCTGGTTATTCTTTTTTTATACAATATATTTTATTAATTTTTTAACATGGTCATCTTAATATTCAGTAAACAGTGTGTTGTCTGGGTTTACATTTAAAAACATTTGCTAACAATTGGTTTCTATAATCTATAATCCACATAATAGCTTTACTTGATTTCCTCTTCTTCCCATAATGTTCTCTTTTACCAACCTTAAGGTAATACAATTCTTATTGTTTGATAGATAACAATTGAGTATAATTTTTTTTCTAATATTTCCGCAAATAATCACATCAATATAATATTTCTTTTCTATCTAGTCATTCTGGTTGCCTCATCATAGATCCCATTTACAGTTCTTGTTTGCATTTGTTTTTCCCACAATGTTCAAAACATTCTTACTGGTTAAGATTTTCTCAAAGTTAATTACATTTAAATATTTGATTCTATTTTTTCTCATGTAAACCATCCCATAACTTTTACCTTACTTAAAGAATAAATAAGACTAAAAGAAGAAAACAAAAAGAACAAGAGTAAAGAGGAATAAAAAGAGAGTATACTATTGAACATCCATGTTTCCCCTAAGCTAATACATATTTATTTCCAAAAAAATTTCATTCTTTTTTACCATAATTAATTTAATCTAATCTTTAAATATTCCATTTAATAAATCCAGTCATCTGATCTTTTAACTCTTATTCAAAACATTTTTTTTCAATCCATTGTAATTTTCTTAAAATCAATCACATTTAAATATCTAAAATATGTCCTTATATATAAGCCATTCTAACTCTTTTATATTACTCATATCAAGAAATAAGATAAGAAAGAGAGAGTACTATGTTATTTGAGGGACTAATCCCTCTTAAAGTAAAATTCATATCCAAAATCTTTCTATTACTTTAACCATATTCAAATAGGTGTTTCTTTTTTAAATATTCTCTCTGATAAGTCCCATCATCTATTTTCTTAATTTTCACTTCTTCTTTTGCCCAATATCTTTAATCAATATATTCTGCTGAATCAAAGAGTCTTTCCATATTCTTGTAGGTGTCACTGTAGATATAAAAAATAAGTCACGTACAATATCATTGTAAGAGGCATTTGCTCTTTCATGTTTGTTGAAAATCTTTTTCTTTCTTTTTCTCTCTGTATCTCGTATCATTTTTTGTCTCTCCAGTTCTAGTGGTGTTCCTGACGTCTCTGCAATCCATTTTGACCAGTCTTTTTTCTTATCCTCAAATTTGTCTTGTGGTCTTAAAGTATAAGTTGCCTTTTCCAAAACCAATATTTCCTGTAAATTTTTTCCCACTTGGGTTAAATCATACTTCTTTGTTCTGTTAAGTTCCATCTTTGAGACTCTATCCTCGAATTTGTGTTCAGTTATCTGTTTTATCTGCTCCGTCTCTATTGTTATTTCCTGGGATTTTTTTTTGTTGTAAAGTTAAATTGGAGATGAATTGTTTTTTGTTTTCAAAGTTATTTTGGATTTCTTTGTGGTTTGAAGTTATTGTTGTTTGAATTAGTTGCAGCATCTCATATGTCTCCTCTTGAAAGGTATTTATTTTTTCTTGATAAGTTCTTTCTGCAAGTCTCTGATTTTCCATAGTGGTCAAGAATCGAGGTTTTCTTTTCTCTGCAAATAGCTTTAGCTGGATGCTTCATCAGGAAACCGCACCCACCCCATTGCCGGCAATGGAGAAAAAGCTCTGATACATCACGCAATGTCACATGACGTCGGAAGTTTGACATGTCTGCTTTAGAGTCACAGTTTAGTAGATATTTATAATCCAAAAAGTTCAAAAAGGTTTCCTGAAGTTTATAATCCTCTTTGTCTGCAACCCAATTTGTTTTCTTTTTTTGTTACAGCTGTTCTCTATTGTTATAGCTTTGAAGGTCACAAGCACAGATTAGTTTTTTCCAGATTTTGCCAAATCCTGTATAAAAGCCATAGCTGTCATAGTCTTTATCCACCACCAGATGTCCGCACCAGTTTATTTTTCAAATTATCAAAATAGAATATTGCCTTTAAAATGAGAATCTTAACCATTCAACAATTCCAAACTTATCCAAATTTAGGTTTTATATTCATTTCATTTCATTTCTGTATGTTTTGGTCCTCCATAAAAGGTTTAATTCGCCGCTTCCGTTAGTAAAAGGGTGGGGCAAAAATCCCCCTCTTCCACAGTCAGAGGTTTTTTGCTTCTTGGGAATTTTTTCCCCCTAAAAAGTTAATAAGTACAATAGAGAAAACCGATGATCTTTCCCAGATTCAAATGCGCTGTTTACAATCAGCTTAAAATAGTGCTTTTTGACTTTGGTTGCTTGTAGCTTGGACTAGACTCTGAAGTTAGGCTAGCCTTTCTCCTGTTGATTTCTGGAAGGCTTCTCCTGGACCGATTGGGTCAACTGCCGTCTCTCTGTGGTCCGCGGGACTTCCTTCCTTCTTTGCCGCCTCTTTGGGGCAGCTTCTGCCCCATTTAGAATCCCCTACAGCAGGGGTGTCAAACTGTCATCCTGCGGACTAGACATGTCATGTGGAAGCCGCGCCCATCCCATTGCCGGCAATGGCAAAACCGGTCCGATACGTTGCGCGACTTCACGTGACGTCGCGAGTTTGACATGCCTGCCCTACAGGAAGAAATTCAGCCAGAGGGCATGGAGCCTCGAAATCCTTTGGCTGCTGTACTACTGCGTGCGACTGGAAGCCCTTCTCTGGTTATTCTGAAGGCTACTACACAAATTAAAATAGCTTTATAATAAACTTTTCAAATAGCTGGCACATTGTGTAAAAATTGTTATACTATT